TACTTTATTCATTTACATTAAATGTCATAACGTACATCATTCTGATTGGAGCTAAGGGCATACACTGTCTAACAAACTGAAACAGTAGCAGGACCAAGAGGAATACCTGAATCCATGTTAGTTGAATCTAGAGTCTCCAAGGAATCGACAAGAAGTGATGTGTTTTGTTGTAGTGGAATCAACTTCCTTGTGAAGTCTCTGTCGTAAGTAATGCTGAGAAGCAAGACGCAAAGGAGGTGGTAAGGTAGGTGACATAGGAGGGTCAAGCACAGGAGTAGACACAGGGACTGGAACTGGAACTGGGAGAGGAATAGACTGCTGACTCACTTCCCCAAAACACTCCCCCCGAGAAGGATTCTTTAAGAAGAAGTATGTGGATTCAAAAAAGGTGACATCCATGGTAACATATCGACTCCTAGAGACTGAATCATAGCTGCAGTACCCTTTCAGATTTTCTGCATATCCAAGGAAGACACACTTCTTTGCCTCGGGATCAAACTTCGAGCAGTGAGGACCAAGGATATGGGCAAAGCAGACACACCCAAACACCCTGAGAGGAATATGAAACATCTCCCCCTCAAGAAAAAGGAGATTGAATGGGGTGCTGAATCCAAGTATACGAGAGGGCACCCTGTTAATCAGATATACTACTGTGAGAACTACATCACCCCAAAACCGAACTGGAACTGGCTATATCCCGCTGGTTCAGAAGTTGCCCATACCTCTCAAATTCGGCCCTTACTGCAGCAGCTACAAGAGACTCTAGAGCAGTTGTAGCAGGAGAGGTCGGAATGTCACCAGTAACTGCCATGTGTGCATTTCCCTTCTTATTTTTCAGTCTAGTCGGCACAAGATGTGGGTGAAGCTTCCAGCAAGTATCTCTTGTGTGTTTAGGCTTCTTACAGTAGTCACAGATCAAATCTCTTTTATCTTCCTTCTTGATTTCACTGTCACCCCGATCTCCATTTTGTTTAGGTTTCACAGTACTCACCATCTCAGGCTAATTAGAAACAGGATTTTTCATCATCACATCTCTCCTGCTCTCATCCCCTAACACAAAAGCATATGCCTAGGTGAGGGTAACACTGTCCTTGGAAAGAAGATGTTGTCTTGCAATATCATACTCAGGATTAAGGCCAGCAAGAAATTCAAACACCCTATACTTCTCTGGATGCTTCTGATAGGTAGCTACATCCTTAGTGGTTTCCCAAGCAAATGTCTCTAAATGGTTAATCTCCTGCCATAGGGTTTTAAGGGCAGAAAAATATGCTGCAACAAGTCTATCTCCCTGCCTTGTAGAAATAATCTGATTTCTCAACTGATAAGCCCTAGCAACATTCTCCCTCTGTGAATAGGTTTCTGCAACCCCATCCCATATTTCCTTAGCTATATTTGCCCATAAAAAATTTTTACTTATATGGGGCAACATGGAATTACACAACCAAGTCATCACCATATAATTCTCCTATACCCACCGAGAGTTGCGAGTTTCGGGTTTCACTTCTTCACCAGTAATATACCCTAATTTCCCACGAGCACCAATGGCCATTTTTGCAGATTGTGACCATTCTAAGTAATTTGCACCATCCAAACTAACTATAGTAATGGTCCCAGTCCCGAAAAGGTCTCCAACACCTCTTCTCATTGGTTCCATTTCACTCCCGAGCTTATTTTCAACTCCGTGACCCTCCATGCTTCTCAAAAAGTGTAAAGAAAATAACTGAAATATGCAAAAAGATCAAACAAAACACTTCTGGAACCAACAACACCTTTCTGGTGTCCTAGACTGTCTTTCCACAAAAGATTCCTTTTTTGCGGGATGAGAGAAGAGAGAGAAGAGGTAGCCGCTCTCTCTAGAAGCCTCCAAATCAGGCAGGACTTGAACCACCCCTTACAGAAAACTCCAAACCCTAAAAAATTAGGGCGCCACTTCCTAGGTCAAAATTGAAGTGTCCAATAGAAACATAACTCTTCCCCTTTCTCCAGTTTTTCTTGATTTTGATGAAAAACCCTAGACCAGCTACAGGGCAAACAGATCCACCAAAAACTCCAAAAACTGGCTTACCTGAGAGCTTCGATCAGCCTCTTAAATCACCATGCAGTCGGCCGATCTAGGGCTGCATGAGAAAACAACTCAAGGAACCTTCGGCCTGCTCTGATACCAAGTAGAAATCACTGATTGCAGATTTAGTCGAATTTCTTGTGAAGGGAAAGAGGAGGAAGATGAAGATTTCAGCAGTAGAGAAGAAAAGAGAAGGAGAAAAGAGTAGGAAGTCAACCAGGATTCTTAGATGAACCCTAGCCGCCAGCCCCTCATTATATTTATACTTAACTTAAAGGATGAGATATTACAAGGATGCGCTTAGCAGGGCGGCTACTAATGTAGCTGAACAGTCACAACTTAAAAACATAAACTAATGGGCCTAAAGCCCAACAACTTCCTAACTAAATAACTTAAAATAAGAATAAAAACAACTAGGCCCAACTCAACACTTCCTTTGATGGAAAATTGTTTCAGCTACAAGGAGGATGATGTGGCCAATCTAGATTCTAGATTTTACCTCTGGATTGACTATATTCAGTGTCTTGATCCAGTGTAAACTCTACACACCACCATAAGCTTTTGTTCCTATCCATGCAATGATGAGCGATTCCAAGTTTTGTAATCCATCTGAAGAGGCTTTGTTTTTCACTCAAAAGAGGGTGTAGTGACCAACATATGGAGACTTTTGGACCCAAAACTAAGCTGTAATGTGAAATTCATCCAGTTACAGAGATCTCTATTTTTTTTTTTGACAAGTAGTTATAGAGACTTTTTTCCAAGATAACTCGTTTAAATTCATTCTAATAACAAAATTCAATATGTAGCAACAAAACAATCTTGAAAGTTTCATGGTGTACTAGTATGTTACCCAATTTGGTGCCATTAGAAGATGAGTCAAGCTTTACTGCACATGTTGATTCAGCTGATGGCTTCACAGGGTAAAGGGTGGAAACCTGGCTTATCATATATTGTTGCCTTTTTACTAACAACTTCAGCAAATTTTTAAGCTGACTGTGACCTCTTTGTCCAACTAGTAACCTATTTTCCTCCTGCAATTTAATCTGATCAGATTATTTGTAGCATACTAGCATCAACATTTATTTTCAACATACCATCAAAGGAAGAAATAAAGTAATTTTGAAATCTACTCTTAATGCTTGGTTTTTCTCCATTCTTTACATGCCACAAGCTTACAATCAACATACTGATGGAGATAAATTCACTTATAGAGCTCAATGCCTAAAAGCAAACACCACACAGCACCATAAGAAAGAAGCCTCTCTTTGGAAACCCATAAAATATGTTGCCTAAAGGGAAAAACACTTTTGGAGAGCAAGCTTTCAAGGAACCTCTCTTTGGATAGCTAAAAGACAGTAGCACCATAAAATATGTTTCCTAGCAGTCTAGAAATGAGGTCTGGAGTTTTAGTCATTTGGGGGTGAAATAATGCTTAATTTTAACCTTTAGATCCTGTAGCTTCCTGTGAAATTTCATTCTTTTCCACTTTACCCTTGGATTACATTCTTTCCACCACTTCTTAACCTATTGTTTAAACTCCAAATGACATAACCACATGTTTTCAAATCTAAAAGGTGTCAGGCCTCTCCTTCCTTGTTCTTCCTTAAAGATGGAAATTGGCCAATGATCTAAGGTTACCCTTGACAGAGCTCTTGAAACTTGTTAGAGTTGGCCGAGTAGGGTAACTTAGTCTTTTCATTATACTTTAAGTGGTGACTTGGCAATACTGTTTTGTTTAAAATTTCTTGTCCCATACTTAAGTAGGGGCATATTTGACTTTGTACCCTTAATGAATATAATAAAAGTTATGGTCGACTAGGAGGGTTTAGACTCTAGTTTGATAGATTTCCCCTTTCTCCTCCTCTCTTCTTTATCTTCTTCTTCTTCTTCTTCTTCTTCTTCTTCTTCTCTCTCTCTCTCTCTGAAGAGAACTTATCTGAACCATCAAAACACGGTATCAGAGCCATAAATATGAAAAAGGAAGGCTGCGATCTCAAAGTTTCTGGACCTGCGATCTCTCCTCTTCTTTTTTTCTCCTTTTTTCTAGGCTACAATCTGGGTTGCACCAAGTAGAAGGCTGCGACAACCTTTTTGGTGATTCCAGGACTGCCTCGTTTTCCATTACAGGTGTTAGGAAGGTGCAGCAGCCCTAGGTTGGTGATTCTATGATTGCTGTCACCACGAGTGACAGCCCTAGTGTTTGAGTGGTTGTGTATGGTGGTTCAGACCCTCTACTGAGCAGTTTCAAGAGGATTTTCTTCCTTTGTTTGTTGCAGTTATGGTGGTTGGCTATCAATAGTGGTGTGACGATGTTTTTTAAAGGAAATGGTCGAATGGGTCTGAATGTCTGAATGGTGGTAGTTTCTTTTTATGGTGGCTGATTGAAGAGTGCCGTGAGGTGATGTGTAGACTGCAGTAGTGTTGACTTAACAGCAGAAATAATTTTCTTTGGTTGGTTGATAATTCAGAAGTAGGAAGAGCAATTGATAGTTACCTGTATTGAAAACACCATGGCAGCAACCAGAGATGGTGGTAGTGATCAGAAATCTAGTGTGATGATCCCCTCAGACTACTTAGGTGTGCAGATGACATCAATTAAACTTAATGGTGAAAATTATGTGCCATTGGTCAAGTCGGTCGAGGTTTATCTCAAGGCCAATAGGAAGGTGAAACATGTGAAGGAAGATAAACCATCAGTTGAATCTCCAGGGTTTGATGATTGGGAACAAGAGGATGCTCAAATAATGGCATGGTTATGGAACAATATGGAACCCAAGATAAGTGCAAACTTTATGTTATTAGATACAGCTAAGGAAAGATGGGAACATGCAAAGAAACTTTATTCTGGACAGAACAAAGTTTACAGCAAGGAAATCAAACCCTTGAAGAGTATTATGCCAGTATGAGGAACCTCAGTAATGAACTTAATGTCTATCATCCCCTCACTTCAGATATGAAAATTCAGTAACAACAACGGGAGCAACTTGATGTAACCAGGTTCTTAGTAGGGCTGAAATCAGAATATGAACTAGTTAGAGCACAAATATTGGGAGGTTCTGCTCTTCCTACACTTGAGGAAGTATTTGTTCGGCTCCGTAGGATTTCCCTAGGACCCACAGAGAGTACCACAACTTCTGACATATCAGTGTTTGTTGTAGCGAGAGGAGGTAGACGTGGAAATAGAGGGGGAGGACATGCATTTCGAGGAGGCTGTGGTAGTCCCATGTTTGGTCGTGGTAGTGGAAGTGGTGGAGGTCGTGACTCAGGGGGAGGCCGTGGTAGAGGAAGAGGGCACACTACTAGGAAGTGTACACATTGTGGCAGTGGCCCACCTTCCACATGGGCTAACCATGCAGTCGTTGGTAGTGGTGATGTGAGTGCTAATCAACAAACAGATCAAACACATTCTACATCTACATCTGCTTCCAAGAAAGAGATGGTGAGTGTACCACGAGATGAGTATGAGAGGTTCTTGTAGGCCACTTCGCAACAGAACACTGCTAGCCTTGCTCATTCAGGTATGGCTTGCCTAGCATCCAAACATTCTCAATGGATCATTAATTTTGGAGCCTCTGATTAGATGACCGGGATTCCAAGTGTGTTCTCTTCCCTCTCTGAAACTTCCACATCCCAAACTGTTACCCTAGCCAACAGTTCTTGTTCTCCCATTTTTGGTGTTGGTAATGTTGATACTGCATCTCTTTCTTTATCCTTTGTTCTATGTGTCCAAATTTCCATTCAACCTTATGTTTGTTAGTAAATTAACTAAGGCCCTTCATTGTTATTTCACTTTTTACCCTTCATCTTATGTTTTTCAGGACCTCAAGACAAGGAAGAAGATTGGTGGAGAGCATAAAGCCGGTGAATTATATTATCTTGACGGTGGTGGATCTTCAGTTGCACTTCAGACTTCCCTGACTCCTCTCCAATGGCACTGTCATCTGGGGCATCCATTTCTCAAAGCTCTCAAGCTACTAGTTCCCTCTTTGAGTCATTTGTCTTCCTTGCAGTGTGAGTCACGTCAGTATGGGAAACACCATCGAGTTTCCTTTAGTCCTAGGGTCGATGGTTGTATGTTGCGTCCTTTTGCTTTAGTCCATTCAGATGCTTGGGGTCCAATCAGAATTGAATCCTATAATGGTTACAAGTATTTTTTCATTTTCATTGATGATTGTTCAAGAATGGCATGGATTTATTTAATGAAAGAAAGGAGAGAATTGTTTTCTATTTTTCAAAAATTCCATAATAAAATACGTACGCAATTTGGTATTCCAATAAAAATTCTTCGTTCAGATAACGGCAGAGAATACTTTCTTACTTCCTTTCAACAATATTTGGAGCAACATAGCATCATTCATCAGACTTCGTGTGCATCCACCCCTCAACAAAATGGGGTGGCTGAATGAAAGAACCATCATTTTCTTAAGACTGCTCGGTCTATCCTTCATCATATGAATGTTTCTAAGCATTTTTGGTGTGACACAGTGCTCACAGCTTGTTTCCTCATTAATTGGATGCCCTCATCCATCCTTCATGGTCGGTCTCCCTTTTCTATTTTGTTCCCCACTTTATCTCCATTTCCATTGCTTTATTCACAATCTAGGCTCTTGAATAGACAAGTTGGACGCATGTTCTATTAAGTGTATATTTCTTGGCTATTCTCAAACCCAGAAAGGGTATTAGTGTTACAATCCTATCACTCAGAAGTCATTTGTCTATCCTGATGTCACTTTTTTTGAGTTCGTGTTGTTCTTCTTGGGTCCTGATGTTCCGGCCTCTTACCATTTATCCCTCTTCCTCTTCCCATTAGTGATCCCATTCCAGTTGTTCCTGTTACGCCTGAGCCTTCACCTCCTCCAATGCAAATTCCTACTGAACGACCACCGATTCGGCATGTGTATACTCATCAACAAACACCGGAACCTCCTCCAGCTTCTACCTCATCTACGGATCCTGTCGTTGCTCCTATCCTAGAGCTGCCTACCTCTTTTGACCTAGATCTTCCCATTGTGTTGTAGAAAGGTAAACGTAGTTTTACCTTACATCCCATATCCAATTATGTTTCTGTTTCTCATCTTTCCACTTCACATCACCAGTTTGTTTCTTTGTTGTCCTCTATATCTATACCCAAGGATGTCCAAGAGGCTCTTACTTCAACAGGGTGGCGTCAAGCAATGGAAGAAGAACTCTCTGCTCTTCAACACAATCATACATGGGAGCTCACCACTCTTCCTCCAGGTAAGCATGTTGTAGGTTGTAAATTGGTATATATAGTTAAATATTTACCAGATGGAAGTGTGGAACGGTTGAAAGTTTGATTGGTTGCTAAGGGTTACTCTCAATTGTATGGAGTGGATACTATGGAGTCCTTCTCTCTCATTGCTAAGATTTGTTCAGTTCGTGTCTTGATTTCCTTGGCAGTTATGTATGATTGGCCTTTGTTTCAACTTGACATTAAAAATGCCTTTGTCCACGGTGATCTTTTGGAGGAGGTCTACATGGAGCAACCACCAGGGTTTGTTGCTCAARGAGAGGATGGTAAAGTGTGTAGACTCAAAAAGGCAATTTATGGGCTGAAACAATCTCCTGGTGCTTGGTTTGGGAAGTTCAATGAAGTGGTGAAAGATTTCGGAATGAAACAATGTCAGGTCAATCACTCAGCGTTCAGTTATGATTCTAAAACTGGAAAGATTTTATTAGTGGCTTATGTGGATGATATAGTCATAACTGGTAGTGACAGACTAGGGATTGACAGGCCAAAGTCCTTCCTACAAGACCATTTCCAAACAGTTGAAGTATTTCTTGGGTATAGAAGTTGCCAGGTCAAAACAAGGTATAAATTTGTGCCAAAGAAAATATGTTCTTAATTTGTTGGAAGAAACAGGATTGTTAGGTGCTAAACCAATTGAAACACCCATGGAACCAAATGCTAAGTTGAGAAGTGATGCAAGTGAAATGTTTGATGATCCTGGAAGATATAGACGATTAGTGGGGAAGCTGAACTACCTAACTATTACTAGACCAAACATCT